GATTTTTTTAAAGGATTTTCGTTGTGGGCTGGGGGGGCCCCGTTTTTTTTTTTTTTTTTTTTGCCCCCCTACATTCCCGGGGGGGACCTTCCCAACCCAGTTCAGGGGCAAAAAGCTAATTTTTTTTCCCCCCGGGGGCCCAAACGGGAATGGAAACATTTTTAGGGAACCCCCCCCCCCCCCCCCCAGTATGGTTGTGTGTCTGGTCCCTCGCGCCCTTGTTTTCTGCTTTATTTTGGCTGTGGGCCACCATCGCGCCTGGCGGTGTTGTGCTCTAAGCCTCGCACGCTTTGTCTTGATGTGCTGCTCTCGGAACGCTTTGCGAACCGGCGGCAGGCGATGGACGCCACGATTAACGGCGACGAGCCCTGGGGTTGGAAGGATGCTCTCGAGGAATCGACCACCCAGCTCAACTCTCTGTGGCAAGGGGGCCCCGCGGAAGAGGAGGGGGAGGGGGGCGTCGCGGGCGTGACGAGCGTCGTCGGGGCGGCAGACATCGCCTTCCAAGGGTACCGGGCCCTCGTCGTGAGTACCCGTCTATGCAGCAGTTGTTGATGTTGTTTTGGCTGTTGCTGCTGCTGCTGCTGCTGCTGCTGCTGCTGCTTGTGCTGCTGGTATTGGTCGTGTTACTCGCTCACAGGCAAGGCCGAGAGAGGCGCACTCTTACAAAGCTGTGCCTAGGAGGCCCACCCACTGGCCAAGGATCTTTGACCAATCATGATCCGGTGGCACACACGAAGTTGATGCCATTCCCTCCAGACGCAGCGTTGTGTAGTGCTGCAAAGGCGATAAATGACATAAACACAGCCGAAGTGCCGGGTGAAAGCACACGATGACCCCGCCGACTCTAGTAGCGTTTTATCTCGTCAAAGTGTGCGTGGCATTCGACCGCCGTTTTTACGACGTGTTCACCATCGTGTCGGGCCAACGGCGCTCCCGATCCCGCCCATCCTTTCTGCTGGCAAAAAAAAAAAACTCAGGCGGGCCTTCCGGAGCAATCGTACCTGCACGCCGACTCCCTGTGGCGGGAGGTGATCGGGCTCACCCTGACCGACCCACACGTGAAGGAGGCGGTTGCGAAGGGAGCCATGCCGTCCGCGTCAGAGGGCCGCACCGCGGTGTCGGATCGAGAGATGGAGGCGAGTAGTTGGTTTTGGCTGTTGTTGTCGTTATCGTCGTTGTCGTTGTCGTTGTCGTTGTTGTTGTTGTTGTTGTTGCATTCTACGCTGGTGTGGTGCGATGGAAACTTGAGTGCAGCAGCCACTATTCAGTGTTTTGTAGTGTCGTGTCGTCCTTAAGTCTTTTTTTTTTTTTTTTCGCGAAGCACGAGCCCTCGCCCTCCCGGCGGCATCTGCCTGACTTGAGAGAGGTAAAGAGGTATTCGACGTCCCTGCGTGCTTCCCGCGAAACCATCCATCCCTTGCGGGAGGCCGTAGGTCCTGGTCCACCCCCGACCAACCCATCTGTGTGTGTGCGGTGGGTGTCAACATCTGAAATGAACAGGCCGTGTGGGAGCGGCCAACCGCGCTCCACCTGCTGCTGCGGGCGATCCAGAAGGACCGTCGGCTGCGCAGAGGCGCGCCGTGGGCGGGCGGCGGCGGCGGCGGTGGCAGCGGCGGCGGCGAGGAGAAGGAGGAGGAAGGAAAGATAGACCTGACGGACGAATCTCTGTCGTCCACGGTGCGTGAGCTCATGCCGGCAGCCGCGGACGGGGGAGGGGCGCTGTGTGAGGCTTGGATCGCCGCGATCCGCAAGTGCCCCTGGTGATTTCCGTACTCGGGGGTTGCCTGCTTTGGCCGGGCATTTCAGGCGGGGCTATGAAGACTAAGCACAGCAGTTGGTAGTAGTAGCAGGGTTGGCGAAGAGTTTGCTCTGTCGATCGGTGATGGAACCTCATTGAGGATGGTGGGAGGAGATGTGGTGCCAGTTGTCATACAGGAGAGCGGCTGCTGGTTGTGACGACGCGGCGCTCTAAACGAGTCCTGCTGCTATTTACTCAACAGCCAGCTGCCGTGTGTCGAACGTTGGCAATGGCAATTGTTCGTTCCGAAGCGCCCAATGGCTTAACCAAGGCCTTGAGTGGAACCTTCACGCCAAAACAGTTTTTAACGGCCGATCACAGGACGACAGCCGAAACACGCAAAATGCATTTCTCGTAATTTTTTTTGTCATCCCATTAATTCTGGAAGTCACCTTTCGGTACAATTCTGGACGCGCACCGACCCGGGTCATGCATGACTTGTATTCCAGCGATCCTTTTGCGGTGCCTATCTTGATGTTTTTCGCGCAAGGAATTCAGCCGTTCCGTTTCCTCGTCGACCTTGAAGTCGGACTTTGGGAACGCCCGAAATCATCGCTTGGGCGTGTACGTATTGGAGAAATTCGTGTGGCTGCACCGAGATTCGAATCCACGTCCCAGCGTCAGAAGGCTCGGGTGTATACGTGCTGGAGCCACCCAGCCGCTGTTGTGCGACCCGAGTATGCCATGGGGTATGCATCCAATCTGCTTTCTATACCACGCCGACGGTGGCCACAATTTTTCTGGTGCTGCACAAGAATTCTCCGCGTTCTTGTCACGTGCGGGGTTTGGTCATGATGGGGCACCATTCGTTGCTGGAGCAGGGCAATTCGCACGCTCCCGGGAGAAACAAGAACGTCTGCATCATGACGTTGTAACGCAGGAACTGCTGGGGCGAGAGTGTGTGTTTTGGATACAACGACGTTTCGCGTAGCATGAAAAAAAAGAGGCTACCGTAGCAACACGATTGAACCAAACCATGCCGATACGACGGTATCAACTATTATTGACTATTCAGAAACGACGGTATCAACTATTTTTGACTACATCAGACGAGACTTTGCCACGAAATTCACACCTCCTTACTACCCACTCCCACAAAAATAAAGCCGATCGAAAGCGTCAACTTGAGCGCCGGGGGATGTCGTCTGAACCATGACATCGTGCAACCCTTTGCTCAAAGGGAATACATACATATATCCACCGATCGTGCACGGAAACGTTAAAATCTAATCTTACACCTCCTCGCCCACATCGCTGACAGACAGGCAGATGGTTGTGGCTGCAAAAACCCTTTCCCCGCAAGACGAGGAAAAGCCGAAGGGTTCCCAAGCAAAACAGGCGATGTTGTGCTTGACCGCCGTGCATGCCCGACCGACCACCAGGTCCGCAACAAGGAATTTTTTGCCGCAAGAGCAACCCAACTGCAAAGTAGGAGGAACCAAACTATGGACTCAACTACCTTTTGTACCCATTACACAAACAGGAGATCAAGAGAACGAAGAAAATTGTGTTGTGCCGCTGACACACCGACCTCCACCACCACACGACAAAACAACCAACCGTGTCGGGGGGCGACGACACAGCCCTCGCCACCCACCTGGCTCGTTGCTTAAAAAGCTCAATATCACTTCCACGACGACGAGGAAGGAAGAAACCAAGAATCAATCAAAACTATCGAACGTTCACTCAAGGGCAAATCCACCTCTCCAAAACAAGAGGGACCGCCTGCGGGAGGGCCTCCTGTACCCGCACGCAGGCCCGTGCCTTGTCATCGAGCGCTACCGTCTTTCTCGCAGGAACCCGCCGACGATGCCGCGGCCGCAGCATCGCGTGGCTCGGGGTTGGGGCTACCCTCCGGCCATTCCAACGCCGCTGCCGCCGCCGCCGCTCGGTCGTTACCCGCCGCGGTCGCCGAGATCCTGTTGTTTCCGTCCGCCGCCGCAGCCTTCGCGCCTCCGTCCGCGCCACCGCTTTGTTTTGACGATGCCGGGGCCGACGGGCTCCGTTTTTTTCTGCGCGCCCCCCCGGAGGAGCCGCAGCTGTTCGAGGAGCCACCGCTGTTCGTCGGCGAAGGACGTCGCCCCTGCCCGGAGGGAGGCGTTCTTGCGTTGCTTCCGCCGCCGCCGCCGCCGCAACCGCCA